CTTACTTTCTTCCTTTCTATTTAAATAGTGTATTTATTACAGTTCTGTACAGCCCAATAATCAAAGCTCTCTATACGATTCACAAAACAAAACATAAACGCATCAAACACAACAGAGGAAAATGTAATCTTAAAACCTTAGGTCTAAGACAGAATAAAACCAAAGTGAACACTACAGTAAAAGCTAGCAGCAGTTCAAAGATTTTAAGGTACAATAATGTGACTTTTAAGTCAGAAGAACTAGATGCTTTTGAAAAAGTTGTTCAGCTGGTACTAAAAAATCACAGTGTAGGTACCTGGCAATGGGAAGGTCATTCCACAACCTGGTTGACACTACTGAAATGGCCCTGGCTTTGGTAGCACTTGCCTCATTTTATTCAATGGGACACTCAAAGAAGGGCCCAGGAAGGAGATGGTCCTTTGGAATCCTGCCCTTCAGATGTTTTGCCACAGCAGCTTTATACAAGAAATACATTCAGCAAAAATAAAATACAAAATGCAATGTTAAAAACAAACTCAAAATAAAAACAGCACAAAAAATCAAAACAAAAGCAATTTAACAGAGAATAAAAAGTATTCAAAGGCCTTGGGGAAAAATGGTTTTGCCTGGCACTGAAGCTGAATAGATACTGGGCGAAACACCAGGAAGGTCTCCTCTCACACTGCCATATACCTCATCACAGATGATGGTGGGCCCAGAGGAGAGATTTGGAAGATGATATTAATGCATAGGTGAGTTGAAATGGCTGCGGGATGGAACCTTCTCGTTCACAAGACTTTCTGCAGGCAGAAGTGGGTTGAACAAACAACTTGGGATAGTTTCTACTTTCATCCCCCACCCCAGTGGGCTTCTCAGAATCATCTGATAACCCCTGTTAGAAAACTGCTAATGGCCAAATGGATCTTTGGTCTCATTTATCAGAGCTCTTCCTATGTTCTTACAAAATCCAAGATACTTGAAGGGAGACCAATGAAAGGCAAAATAAAGCTAAAATAAAACGAAACCTGATTCAGGAAAAATCCAGAACAGACTGAAATCACTCCAAAGAGGATGAATTCAGATTTATCCCATCTTAAATAAGATTCTCTCTCTCTCTTTTTTGAACTTTAATGGAATTCAATCAGATTTTAAAGTGAGGTGCTCCAGAGTGACATTAAAACTTCTCTAGGGTTCTCGAGTCACTGACAGGCTATGGCTTTTGATTCCTGACCAGAATGAAATCAAATTTAAGTGTCTAGAATAAAACTGGAGCTCAATACAACCTCAAGGCAGGCCGCAGTCCTATTTTAGGTTCTTAAATAGATTGATACATAAAATGAAACCCACATTCTGGCCGTATCCCAAACATCCTCTCAAAAATTTCAAAGGCACTATGAGCAACAATAGATCTATGCCTGAGACCACAAGCATGTCTAGCTAGATTCATCAACTTCATTTTTACTCAGATCCTGTGTGCATAATGACTTAGCAAATGTTTAGTGCTCACTTGCACTTTATCAGCCACACACCACTGCTTCCAACAGAATTTGTAGAATTAAATCAAATTGACAGTAATTTTTCTAACTTCGCATCCACCTTTCCTCTACTACACCATCCCATTCATATTAGCTTCACTGAGCCCGCAAGGAAGCCAAAGCAATCTAAAGTCCATCAGCAAATATGGTTCTGATTATTTAAATGAAATATTCCCATAATTGGAGTGGCACGTAATCCATGAAGTTGTAATTGACCAGGTGGGAGAGAGAGGTTCCAAAGGGAGGTAACTAGATGAGCTGTTGATTCAGAGTCCTTCACAAATTAACAAAAGAAGAAAAGACAGTATGAAGACTGGTTCTAAAGACATACCAGCAAGACAAACAGAATTTCACTGCACCTTCTCTTATTTTCAAGAGTCACGAACAGGACAGAAGAAACACAAAAACAAAGATTTTCTCTGTAGACCAACCAGGTATCTACAGAGAGAAGCTATCTGCTGAGCTTTTCACAGAGGTTGGGCACAGCCAAATACTTTCCCCCAAACAGAACAGACAGGTACACTGTGGCCATTAAAGTGGCTTTAAAAAGATGAGATGAAATCTGGACTGAAGCAAGGGCTTGGCTGAAAAGCAAGGCAGGGGGGAAGATTTCAAAGTCCTTGGTCTTTGGCCTTTTTCTTTTAGGTTCTCTAGAGAATGCAATCCTAAGTATGTTCAACTGATTGAGGACCTGAAAATATGCCTTCTGTAGGTGGGAGTGGGTGGAGGTTTTGTTCCAAAGAGGACTTAGGGAAGATCCCCCTGTACATGTTTATTTGGAAGTAAGGCCCATGGAATTCCATGTGGATTACTCCCAGCCTTTCGGATTGCCTCCACAAAGTGGAAAGGGGGGATGTGACATTGTGGACAGTGCTGACAATGGAAACTTTGTGAGTTGGTTTCTAGCAAGAGAGAACATTTGAAAGACAGTCGTTTTTAAAAGAGAGAGAGAGGGAGGTTTGGAGGGAGTGAGCAGGGAAGCTTTGCTGTCAAGCTCCATCGATTGCCTTGTCTGCACTTTTGACAAGACCAATTTGATTTGCCGCCGGACGAGTAAAAATTGCTAACAGAGACCTCCTTCTCCTGTTGCTCTGGGAGCTGTTTATGATATTGCTCTCACAGTGCCACCACCGCTCCACACTCCCCGTCTGTCTGTCTCTCCCTCCTCCCTCTGTCCAGATCCAAGCAATGAGGCGTTGATCTTTCATTCCTGGCCAGGACAATTTCCAAAGCAAGTAAAACTCTGAGCTTCTGGATTTCAGCCAGGTTTAAACACTCCAGGAATAAAATTTTACTTTATTTTATTCCAGGAATAAATTTATATTGAAATCAAGGAAGCCCAAGTCCAGATATGATGAAAGCCCTTGTTGCAGCATGTTCCTATACATGTCTACTCAGAAGTAAGTTCCACTGAGCTCAGGGCTTTCTTCCATACAAGACTGTAGTCTGGAAGCTCCATCCTATCCAAATTTAGGCAGAAAAAGGCCACCAGCTCTCAGCTGCGGCATGCTGTGAGTTGTCATCCTTTTCTCTATCTAAATTTTTGTAAGATTATGCCTTTATTAACTTAGCTGGTTTGTAGTTCATTATCTTTATTACACATTCAGGGGTAATTGACTATGAATTTCAGTGGCATGATGATTGCAGAATTACTTTGAACAGATGGTTTCCCATACTTGTTTATGTCAATCGCTTTCTGTATTACTGATTTGCTTATATAATTGATCTAATTTGACTCTGAAAATGAATTGCACCCTTACACATTTTCAAATTCCATGGATTTTACAGGGACAGAATAAAGGATAGGTTTAATTCAACCATGCAGGAAGGGTTAGGATTTTGAAAGTTCCTAACTTTGCCTAAATGAGGATTTCTTACCATTAAACATAAGCAAAAAGACACAGGTTTTTTTTTTAGTGTACAGAGCTCAATAACAGCAAGATCCCCGTCCTGAACAGCTAATTTTTGTAGGCATCACCAAGGAACAAGAGGCATTAGGAGGCATCAGAATTTCTAGAATGCCAAGAAATGGAACAAGTTTATTTTCCCCCAATTTTTAAATCTCACATCAATTTCTTTGTAAAACCTCAGTTATGATGTGTGCCCTGTGTAGGAACTGTGGCTGAATACAATCAAGATACCACGATTTGCTAAAAAAAGGTTACCTATTCATAATGAAGACACACAGCCAAACGGACTCATTCAATCAGGAACAGTTCTTGGTCCTCCTAATGCTGAAATGTGGTTTTCTGATAGTACTAAACCCAGATTTCTTAGCCAAGGCAGCATTCGTGGGGCTCAATGCTTCGTCCTAGCTTCTCTACTACTATATAGAATGTATTTGGAGGTGAGCTCTTAATCATTCGAACAGAGTATTTCCAGCACGATCCGTGGCGTGCTGAGAATCCGAAGTCCTTTAGCACGATGAAACCGCTCAAATATTCATCCAGCTTTCTTCCTGCTGCCGAATTAGAGATTCCGAAGCTTACAGGAAATCTACCAGGGGAGAGAATGCCGGCATCTCGATCCAATGACACGGCGCAAAAGTTGCAGCACTATCTTGTGCCTGTCTACTCAGAAGCAAGCCCCACTAAGTGTGGTTTTACTTACTCGCCAGTACAGGCTTTACAGGCTTCCGACAGATTCCAACGGGGCTTGCAAGGGGACTCGTCCCGAGAGCCACGCGTGCGGGATTCGGGGACTGAAAAGCGGGGAGGGGGTCACAAAACTCATGAAACCGGCTCCTCATCCTCCCATTTACACGGCCTCGGGAGGAAGTTGCGCGAGCACTTCGGGCCCCTCACGCTGCCGTTTACTCCCAAATGAAACTAAGGGGCATTCAGCGTCGGTGGTCAAGCTAGCCTTTGAAGCAGATCGGTGCCTAGGGCCCAGTTTAACAAGACCTCCGACTGCTCCGCCCGGCCACATGAACCCGCAGCACCTTCACTTCTAAATGAGCACATCAGAGCCTAAGGAAAACTTACTTGCTTCCCGGCAGCTTGCGACACCTGTCCCCGCGCTGGTCGGCTCGGAAGCCGGGCCGGCGAGTTCGCACGTGGCCTGCCGTACCCTTTTGACACTTTCTGGTCAGCCCCCCTAGCGGGACACCTCCGAGAAAGAATCTCGCCCTCGCAGCCTCTTCGAGCCCCTCAATTCAAAGAGAGCCCAGTTCAAATGCCATCTTTATTAGAAAGGCAAAGATAATAATCCCGCCGGCTACTGGCATGACCATCACTTTTTCTCTTCCTCCTCTTCACCCAGTTCCTGAAAGAGTAGTCTGCTCGTCTGTTATGGTGTCCAATGCCAGAAGCGGACGGCCACAGGTAAGCCAGGACCCCGCTTTAAACCAAGAGAAATCTAACCCCAACGGTGTGGCCCATTTTGCATCAGATCCACCCCACTGCCTCACCCTCCACACACGCCCGGACCCCTCGGGGAATCAGCCCTCCCAGCCACCCCACCGCCTCGACGCGCGAGCCTCTTTACCTGGAGGATGTTGGGGTGCCGCAGCCTCTGCAGGAGGACCATCTCCTTGACGATCTTATAGGAGGCCAGCCGGTAACAGTCCTCCAGAGAGCCGTAACGTTTGACGCAGTTGTCGATGTCGTGGCCCGCGAAGTCCACGGACTTCAGGGCCACTGCCAGGCTTCGGTTGAGCACGGCTTTGTAGACGGCCTTGGTGTAGCCGGAACCCAGGTAATGCACGTCGGTCACGTTGCGGATGTCTCGGCATCCCAGCCGGAGCGGGCTGAGCGACAGCTCCAGCTTGGCCCGGGGATGCCAGGGCGTCCCGGAGGAGGTGCCCACGCCGGACCGCAGAGACCCGAAGCTGCGCTCCGTGGACGACGACGAGGAGAGCCGCTGCTGCGGAGCGAGATCCATGAGCCGGCGCTCCAGGGGTTTCATCAGCAGCCGCGACCCGGAGGGGGCGGCCGGCCCCGGGGCTTCGCGAAGCCGCCGCTCTTGATAGCGCAGCACCTCTTCGTAGCGCTCTCGGATCTGCCGCGCTAAGTCCCAGCGGCTGCGGCGGCCGCCGCTCCGTTCCGCCTCCCCTGGCAGGTCCAGAGGCGAGTCCGCCAGCGAGTGCGTGACGGCCGCCGTTTGCTGCTGCTGCGGATCAAAAGCCGGGATGAATAAGACGTTGAGCAAAGTGCCCAGCAAGAAGGAGAGGCAGAAGCCGGCTGCCACCGCCAGCTTTCGGCGCTTCATCGCGCGGCAGCCAGCCAGCCAGCCAGCCCGTCCTGCCTGCCTGCCTGCCTCTCTCCTGTCCGGCAGCTCGCTGCCTCCGCTGCTCTCGCTGCGAGCGATCAGCTTGGCTGAGATCTCACTCGTAGCATTCCAGATCAGCAGCAGAATCAACGGCCAAAGAAGAAAATGCCTCCCCCCGCCGCCAAAAAACCCGCCTCTTCACTCTGCACTGCCGCCGCTCCGTTGCGCGGCGAGGCGAGCCCCCCGCATGACACTTGCCTACTCCAGCCCTGCCTTTATAAGCCCTCCCTAAAGCGCTCGGTATTGTTCTTCCTATTAGCTGCCACGGCTGCCCGGCGAGGGGGGAAATGAGAGTTTGCACGCGCGCGCGCTCACACACGCGCGCGCGCAAATAAAAAAATAGAATCTCCGAGCGTTCTACACGCACAGATAGAGACACACACGGTGACGCCAAGTGATTGGCGGCTCTCCCTCGCCACTGGAATGGGGAGATCTGCAGGGAGGATGCCTGGGAAATGAAGTCTTCTCTCTTGAGGTGGCGGCCGGCAGACCAGAGGAGGAAGAACTACAAGTTCCAGAGGCCGCTTCTAGCCCGAGAGGCGGCACCCACTCGATAACGGTGTCGCCTGCAGAAGACATGGGACGAAGTGGAAAGTGTCCTTTTTCAGCGCATTTAAGAGTAGTAATAGGTCGCCTCCCAGGTAAGCATTACTAAAGGTAGCATTACTGAAATAAAAGTAAGTTACAATTAATCTTAGTACTATGCAGTGCTGTGGGTGCACTCTAAGCAGGACTCACATCGACTGCAACCCCACTAACCTAAATCTCATTCATTTCAGTGGGTCTACTTTAAGCAGGTCTCATCTGAGATACAACCCAGTGCAATCTCGCGCGGAGAGGGAGGGGAAATGCAGAAACGATGGGGTACGGTGTGAGGATTTATGAAGGCTTTCGAAGGGAGAGACTTGCCATATTTTAAATACGCCACTGTCTGTATCCCATTTGCTGTTAACAAGCAACAGAAGTAAACATGGAAACAGCATTTCCAAGATTTTGTGCATTTATATCACGCGGTTTTTCCCTCTTGGAAGGAATCTAACGAGCTTTATATAATCCACCTTCTTCCCATCTTATCCTTCCGACAGCCATGTGAAGTACATCAGGCTGAAATTCAGTGACTGGCCCGCAGTCACCCAGGGAGCTTCATGGCCCCGGGGGGGGGGGGGACGGGAACCCGGATTTCCCGAGTCCCGGTCCAATGTTCTAACCAGGAGATAATACTTGTTCTGGAGTCACCTGGACTGCAACCAAGGAAGCCATCAACTCCTACATACAAATACATTCTCCAGTCTGTATTTTCTTCCAAGCTTACAATTCTTATTTCGAAGGTGTTCTAAAAGATGAAGCACTGACAGGGGTGGGGGTTAAACAAGTGATGGTTTGCACATATTTGTCAGATTTTTAAAGTTATATGCATCTTTGAGCATGCACATCTCCCTCCAGTCCTCCTGTCATTGTCAGATACTCATTAAGTCACATCCAGAAAACTGTATATTGACCTCTACTGGAAAAACTTAGGACCCCTAGGTCAAAATTGCAATTTACAGAAGGCATACAGTTTGGCAGATGGAAGGAAGGCTCCTAGCTGAACCAGAAAATAAATAGGAGAAACTGCTTAGTTTATTTCTTCTTTATTATACCAATTCTAAGGGCCCAATTCTATTCATATTTAGGAAGGAGAGGTCCTAAAACTCCCAGCATAACCCAGTCATAAGTGGCAGAGGCATGCTGGGAACTGTAGAATTTTTTTCCTCTCTAAACATGCATAGAATTGCACCCGGAACAGCTTTCCTATTATAGAAAAAACATCAAGCATTCCCTTGCTCTCTAACATCAAAATATGGTCTCACTAAGATCATATTTGTGATGGGTTTTTTAATGTGCATATTTTTCAGAGCTCAGATTTGTAGTAGAGGCTATTGTATTGACTTGGCTAGCAATCAGTTGCCTATTTCAAACTGTGCCAGGTTTGCCAACTGAACTAGAGGTCCAGGGTGGTTTCTGTCTCCAAGGTGATCCTGCACACATATGCATGAGAGCAACCTTCATATATTCTAATACAAGGTTGTAAACCGCCCAGAGAGCTTCGGCTATTGGGCAGTGCAGAAATAAACCACTTCTGAATAAAGGGGTGAGAATAGAGTTGTCACCTAAAGGCAGTATGTGTCACTGTTACCCTTCTGTGCAACTTTATCTGGAGTCCTTTGGTTAAAAGGGAGAACTTGCATCCAATTTAGTAAATGCAGCTGTAAATAGTAGTCTTCCAAAAAAAAAAAAAATCGTATCATGAATTTTTGCTTAGCTGTGCAGATAGGGAGCCTTTAACTCCGGATGTTAACAGTCGTACCGAGCAGGAAACTTCTTGGGTTAGTAATACAGTATGTCATTACTAGAGAAAAGGAGTGGTGCAGTGGTTATAGCCGCGCCCGGGAGGCCAAGGCTATAGACCCCTCTCGGCTGGGAAACGCACTAGGTCAATTTGGGGCAGTCGACACAGCCTAGCCTTCTTCCCAGGTTGTTGCGAGGATAAAATGGAGAGGGGGGTTCGCTAAGCCGCCTTGGGTCCTTTGCAAAAGGAAAAAGGGAGAGGCATCAAAGTAATACTAATCATTAATCAAAGCAAGCATTTCACTTCATTCAAAATGACCCAGCTGTGCCCAGTCGGCCGAGGGGATTCTGGACTTTCGCGCCACAGTCTTCAGGGCTCGACTTAGACCGAGCTTCTACGTTAAGCGTTTGAAAGCACCTCTCTGCATCTCAGCACGCGCTGGGATTTTAGGGCCACTTAATAAGCTTGTCCCATTCCCACTTTCTTGCTTTCTCGCCCCTTCAAAAAAAAAAGGGGGGGGGACGAAGACCATCCACGAGTCGTTCGGTAAATGAGCTTTTCTCAGACAAGTGTATGCAAATCAGTTGTTTAACCACTCCTCCATCCGCACTGAATGGGCTGGCGACGGAGGGATCTCGCGGGGTGGGCGGCGGAAAAACAGATAAAAATCAGATTTAAACGCACGGGCAGCACGGCAACTGTGCAATGGAGGAGTGGCCGCGACTGACCGACCGAGGCTGCTGAAAACGCGCGCACGAGGCCCCGCGGGCTTTAGGCAGCGCGCTGAGCCGAGACGTCGGAGCCGGATGAACGCGGGCGACTCATTTAAAGTGATGGTGGTGGTGCTTCTTAGCGCGTTACAGCGCCATCGAAAGTCTCTCTTCGCAGAAGTAAGTCCCACCGAGTTCAGTGGAACTTACTCTTGTGTAAGGAGGTTGGCTCCAGACTTAGGCATGCCTGCTTGGATTTACTGAAATCAGTGAGACCTGTATTACCATACCTGACTTAAATCCCATTGATTTCAATGAGTCTACACGAAATTTGACTAAGAACCGAATGGGTAGAACAGAGAGAGGCACCTAGCCCCCATCATATGTTTTGCACCAAAACTCCCATACTGTCAGCTGAGGATGATGGGTACTGGTAGTCTAAAACTATCCAGACAGCACTGAATTGCGCACCCTTGAATAAATGTTGCCATCCTAGGCACTCTCATTTATTTATTTATTTATTTATTTATTAAAACATTTTTATGCTGCCCCATTCGCCGAAGCCTCTGGGTGGCTTACAAGGGCACAATTTATGCATATTTGGAGAGGAAAAAGTCTTACAACTTTCGGCATGGCTGACAGGTAATGCTTGAATTGTAGGACTTGTTTCTTTCTAAACATGTATATATGTGTGTTCCTAGTTCTTGCATTTTTATTCAACTATTTTCTCTCAAAATGGCTCACATCAATTAAAAAGAAAGGGGGACAGACTACATTCAAATGAGAAGACACACCAGGGATGCAGAAAGAAAAGAGAAGGAAAAGATGGAGAACAATTTTTAAAAGATTGGAACAGACTGGAACTTGCTTCCATTATATGTTGGGATAGGTTTATTGTTAGGTGCAATGTTGGATGCAATCCTATGCAGATATAGACGGGCATCTCCCAGCATGCAGCAGCCAGGATGACTGACTGGGAAATACTGAGAGGTGCAAGGTTTTGTTTTCTTGTCTAAACATAGTAAGGATGCATCATTAAGATACATTAGTGGTACAGAAGACCTCAGACTCCCTCTGAGCAATGCAGATTTGAATCACCATTCAATATTATAAGCAGATCCATGTGGCAAGGAGCCAAGATTTATCACCCCAGAAGATGGGTTGAAGCTGCAGTAATGTGGAGGATGGAGTCTCTCCACAACGACAAAACAGCCTCCTCAATATAGAGCTCTGTGTTGTGACTAGGAAATAAGGACTTGAAAAGTTCTTGGCGGGAGCTGTGGGGCCTAGTTAGCAATGTGCGCCCTACAGCTTAAACCCACAACACAGGTCCCAGCATGGGGTCACTCCCCCTCTCTGCTGGAGATGTGAGTTTTGGGGGCCCTAGTGCTAAGTGTGTGCTTATCCATCAAGGCCCGCATTACTAGGCTGTTAGCAGCTCATTAACAAATATAATTAGCCTGAGAACCGACACAAAGGGTGAGTGCATGGAGGGGGGTGTTGGGAAAGACTGGAGGCAGGGCAGCCGAAATTTGTTTGGCTGAGGCAAGTTTAGAGAGAAGAAAAGTTGTAGAGAGCCATTCATGTCACCCACACAAAGAAAGCCACATTGAAAATTGACACTTTGCTTGTGCTGCCAGCTAGAAGATTTGGAAAGCAGGCTAGAAAAAGTGGGGGTCAGAGGCAGTGCTGGCTCACTCCATTATTGCTAAGGGGTCAATCCAGGCAGGGTGCTTTTGGCTCCCCAGTCAATCACTTATGGACCAGAAAAGGGGGTTATAGTCTGACTTTGCAAACACAGGTAGCACAAACAATGGTGAAGGTTCAAATTTGTAGAAGCAACTTTAGCCCTCCACACCTGGGTGGGGTGGGATGCTCTTCTGTAAAGGAGAAATCTCCTT